TGCAGGCCACGGAAAGGCCCCGGTAGCCACAAAAAGGCCCTGCCAGCCTGGAAAAGGCCCCGGCTGCACAGAAAGCCATGAGAGTCCCTCCCTGTGGAGCTGCAGCCGAAGCAGTTCAGCCTCCCCGCTCTCCTGAGCAGACCCAAACAGCACCCAGTGCCCCAAAAGCCCGGGGGGCAGAGGGGACCCTCCTGTCCCCTCCTCRTTCTGTGTGGGATCTCCCTCTTGGGGATCACCCGCTCTCAGTCCCTCYCCTGACATCCCAAAGGAAGAGCTTCACAAACCCCCTCAGCTGCAATTCCCCATCTCAACTTAGCTGTCACTATTTTCYTCCACCGAAATCTGGCAGCAACCCAACAGAGGGAAGAAACAAACCTGCTATAATTAATGTTCTTGCTGTTCAAATATTTATATAAAGCAAGATAGAGCCGTATGCCTCGGCAGTCTCTTGGATCTGTCCAACCTTCTCAGCTTTGCAGCCGGGARCAACTTTAATTGATTTTACAGCACTGCTGATGGCTCAGAGCAGCTCCCCTCATCACTGGTGGCATCACACAGACTACCCTGCCTCAGGGAGAGCTTACACTGACCCCACAATGCAAACAGAACGGAAAAAGGACTCTCCTTCTGATGGAAGAAGGATTTGTGGGTACTTTTTTCCCAGGCACGAGTTTGGGTACAAATGGAATCAGCAGCTTTGTTGTCTTACATCATAAGTGGCACCAGTTCAGACGAGTCCTGGGGAATTGAAGCCTGGACAGGCACCCCCGACACTCATTCCCAAGGCAGAAATCACTGAAAACTGAGATGCTGCAAGAAGTTACCGGAGATTTTAAAGTCTGTGACCAATTCCCCTGGTTCCAATAGAAACACTTCTGTTACAACAGTGATGAATTCCCAATCTCTTGATGACTSCAGAGCTCCTGCCAGCTCACACTAATTTCAGCTCATTTCCCTCACAATTTTGCCTCCTGTTTTTGCTGCAGAGGTTGGAATGGCTCTAAGCCCTTCAGGTGAGCTGCCAAAACAAGCTGATGTAACCCTGCTCTGCTCCCATCGCTCCCGGAGCAGCTCATTTACTGATGAGCTCCTGGGAAGCTGCTTAAAAAAAAAAACACAGGATGTGCAACACATCCGTAAAAATTGCATCAATGCCACGCCAAAGGAGTTTTTCCCTGTGTTTGAGCTTTGCCCAGGCTGTCTGTGATCAATCTGCTGTACGAATCCATGAGTGCTGAAGAACAGGAGAACTCACCATCAGCCAGCTCCATTATGACACTGTTTGGTTATTTTTATTACTGGAGATGATGTCTCATGAAAGATGTTTCCTTCCTGCATTGATTCCACCTTGGCCACGTCGCTTCTGCTCGTCCTTTCCAGCAGGAGCTGTGGGAGCACCTCTGGATTCAGTCCCAGCCCATGGAGCTCCAGCCTCTGGCCAGATGTTGCCCCAAGCTCCACTGGTACAATTCCAACATTGAGGTTCCTCATTCCAAATCCTGACTGCATTGATCAGCGTGCCAAGGTGAAGTGAGTGCAGGAACCAATTCCAGTGCTTGTGTTGCCTCTTCAACATCATCAAATGTCAGAAATCACACTGATGAGTGAAATCCTGCAGCACCCATGAAAGCTCCTGTTGTCAAGAGACCACTCTGGCACAGCACAAATCCCCAAAGCAAACCCCACTCACACAGTACTAAGTGCTTCCACAGCAGATTGTATAGATCTGTGTCACGGTCAGTTCAATAACTCCAGCASAACCCTGGATGGACATTAGAGAGGTGTCAGATGCTCTTTGGTTGCCTGGATGTAACAAAAGCCTTTTAGTTTCACTTTACTGATGGGGAAAATGGGAGCAGAGGAATTTGCCAGGGTTGCAGCAAGCCAGAGCTGGGCACAGAGGGCACTGCCCTGAACKTGTGTCCTTCAGACCACAAGGGAAATGTTTCCTGACAGCCAGCAAACAACGGGGACTGAGGAGGGAAGGGACACAATGGAATGATTTTATTTCCAGAATCCCTCCTTTTCCACAGAAACACAGTCCCTGACAAAGCTGCCATCAATGCAGGATTGCCCACAGCAGCTGCCTCTGCAGGAACCTGGGAGCACTGWGGGGTCCCCAAAATTCAGAAGGACACAAACCCTGCTTTCTGTGAGGGATGAGGGCACTCTGCAGCAGCCAGGCTGCTCTGGAGAGAAAAACAAGAGTGTGTGAGCTGCTGCTGGGACACTCCCACTGCTCCCAGCCCAAGAATTGTGTCAGTGGGAGGAGGATGCATCCATCGCTGCATGGGACCCCTGGCAGCCTGTCAAACTGAGAAGCAAAGAGGAAAAAAAAACAATGGATGTGTTTTCACTTCCTTATGTTCTACTAGGAGAGTTGGTGACTTACAATTGACTTACTCATTGTGCAACTCTGGGGCTYCCCAGCCCTTCTCCTCTGCTCCCTGTCCCCATTCCCCATTCTGGAGTGTTTGTCATGCCCAGGGGGCTGGGTCACCTCTCAGGGGATGCCCAAAAAGCAAATGGGACTCCTGGCACCCGGCCACACAGGAATTTTGGCAAACAGCTCACCCAACCCCTGACCTCACCTGATCCAATCTACCTGTACATCCCAATTCTCCCACAGTGCCCCATTTCCCCATTTCTGAGCCTATCTAATCCCACAGAAAACTGGCTGGACTGAAATGTAAAATATTCCCTCAGCTTCTGCAGCAACCCCAGGGAAGAGTTGTCTTTACAGTATTTCCCCAGTGCAGAGGGAAAAAAGAAACAGTCACTGGTCCTGGTGGGGAGGAGGTGGTGACTGGAGGTGGGGAGGGAAGAGAGCTCAAACAATCTGTGCCAGCAGCACAAACTTTGTTCCCACTCCAATTCTGGCTCAGAAGGGAAGCCAGCAGAAAAACCCAAACCTAAACAAACCCTTAAGAAACAAGGAAACTGTTTCCATGTTGTAGTGACTTCTGAAACAGCATCTCCYGTCCCCCAAAACACTGGGATGAAGGCAGGAAATATGAGATGCTTTTTGAGCAGATTTTTGCAAAGGATTCTATGCAAAATCTCCCACTCAACAGCTTGGTAGATCCTGCAGATTCCACGGAAGAACAAACTGGCACAAAACCTTCCAAACCAGAAATCCCAAACAACAACRGATCTGTTTGATTAATCTGTTGCCAATTATGAGTGTCACGTGCACTGTGTGAGGCTTCAGACTGGCACCTCAGAGGTTAAAAAAGAAATAAAAAAAGCCAGCAAAGCCCAGCAGGCCCTTGAGCTGTGAGTGCAGAGCCGGCTCTGCCTGGCTGGAGCTGTCTGGGCCCCAGCAGCAGAGAGGAAAAGCCGGCAGAGGGCAGGGAAATGCTGCAGCAATTCACAGACMAGGCAGAGGAGATGCAATAACCTGCATTTCCTTCCTTTGCTGACACTGCAGTGTTGTGGAACAGTTAAACCACAGTTCTGACTCAGTGGACACTGCCTGGGACCCTCCTGCAGCAGCTCCTTGTGGGAGCAATCCCAGACCACAGCATTCCTGGGACAGCACGTGGGCTTAGCCTAGGCCAGGCTGGGCTTTCCCAGGATGAGCTCAGCCTCCTGCTTTGCAGCAGCCAGCATGTTATTCCAAACATTTCCCTTGTTYTTCCCACTTCCAACCACTCCAGTGGGATAATAACACATCCTTGAGCCCAAAGCTTCACAATCCCTCTACAAGGACAGAAGATGCTGGGCTACACACACTTCACTGATGGCCACTGGCATTGCTCTCACTCACCAACCTGGAAAAAGCTGGGCTTTATTACTTGGGATGGGATGGGATGGGATGGGATGGGATGGGAT